TTAACTGAAAATGCACAGATTCGAAACTAATCTATCAACCTGAATTGAACAAACACTACACCAAGACGGAAAAACGAAATAACGTAAGAATAAGACGACGAAGTTACGAAGAAAATAACTAAACACACACACACACACACACACACACACATATATATATATGTGTGTGTGTGTGTGTGTGTGTGTGTGTGTGTGTGTGTGTGTGTGTGTGTGTGTGTGTGTGTGTGTGTGTGTGTGTGTGTGTGTGTGTATGTGTGTGTGTGTGTGTGTGTGTGTGTGTGTGTGTGTGTGTGTGTGAAATCACTTATTTGAATGAAAAGGAAAGAAAAAAAGAATTTAGAGGGGTGGTTTCGTATCAAAAATTAACCCTAAAACAACTCTTTAGTGGATGAAGGAAAAAAAGAAAATTAAACTTATTATGTTGAATTTAGAGAAATATGGAGTTAAATTCTATAGTAATGGATCATTTAGTTGGATATTCTTTTGACCATGAAACCTATACTACTTTTGTTGTTTTAGATCCCTATTTGAAACACAATGATATTATATGTAGTAAATGTGTAACAAAAAAAGAAACAATCAATATTGTATATTGTATCTAACTGAAATATCATTTCTATTGAAACTACCTGAGTGTTGGTATAAAGTTTAGTAAGACATTGTGGACTCAAAGTCATCTATCTTTTTTATGTATACTATGTTATTATATAACATCATTGATAATTTGAATAACTAAAATAATATCATTGTTATGACTCAGCGAGCTAACCAACAAGCAGACTCGACGAGTTAATCAAGTGAACAAGTTTGACTATGTGGCATGTTTATAAACATTAGGTGCAGGATAATAATGGTTAAACAGAGTTGTTAAGCAAAAGGTTAAAAGGAAGTAAGTCACATACAAAGAGGATAAGTTTGAGTATGAGCGGGCAAAACTAATCTTCCATTTTTAATTCCTTTTTGAATTCTTCGAAACTCACTTTGAATAATGGGTTTCGCCCATTTCCCTTATACGGGCATAGATTTTTTAACAAGGAGCCTCGTCTCTTTCTAACTTATAGAAATTATGCAGGATGTACGCAAAATTCTATAAGAACCTATATGTTATGGAAGATGTTGGATTTCCATTGGAAGATCTTTGCCTCTATATAGGGTAATACATTGCTAGACATTTATTGGAAGATCCTTGTTTTCCTACATGGTAATACGTTGTCGAAATTCCATTGGAAGATCTTTTTCATCCAATAGGGTAACTACATTTTTGTACCTTTATTGAAAGATCTTTTTCGCCTCAATAGGTTACTAATTTAACACCAAATGACAAATTATTTCCACCTGGGTAGGCGACGTAAGCTCTGAATAACAGAAAATCCTCAATAATAAGAATTACATAAACAAATCACCAAAAGTCAAGGATATATCTTGTAAATAGAAATCCCTAAGAGCATGGTTACAAACTAGCATACAAAAGATGGGAGTGCGAATAACATGAAGGATATAAGGACATAATTGAACTCTCCTCAAGAAGTTATTGAGGGACTTGCCCTCTAGTACTACGCTTGAGAAACTGGCCCTAAAATCTCAGGGAGGCTCTCTGTAGAAAGGGATCAATAAACATACTTCTAAAGGCGTGAATATCATCTAAATATCCCTAAATGTGATATAATAGTAACCCTCCAACGGGAAATTAAACAAATAGCACAAAAGTATCAGCTGAGGGGACTCAACGCAAAGTCTAACTTGAAGGATTCAACTTAAAGTTTTTCCTGAGAGACTCAACTTAAAGTCTCACCTAAGGGAATCAACTTAAAGTCTCTCATGAGGGACTCGAATTAATGTATTGCCCGAGGGACTCAACTCAAAGTCTCACCAGATGGACTCAACTTAAAGTCTCTCTTGCGGGACTCAACTTAAAGTCTCTCCTGAGGGTCTCAAGTATTAAATTATTTCATAAGGAACTTAACTCTAAGTCTCGCCCGAGGGACTCGAATTAAATTTTCTCTTGAGGGACTCTACTAAAGTCTTGCCTAAGAGATACAACTTAAAGTATCTATGGAGGGCCTCAAAATAAAATATCTCTTGATGGACTCAACTTAAAGTCTAGCTTGAGGGACTCAATTTAAAGTCTCTCCTGAGGGACTTGACTATTAATCTCTCAGTTGAGGGACTCAACTTAAAGTATCATATAAGGGACTCAACTTAAACTTACCCTTGAGGGACTTAACTTAAAGTCTCATATGAGGGACTCAACTTGAAGTCTTGATTGTCGAGATTATAATACTTCATCCTTTTCAAGCCCTCGTGCTTGAGGGACTTGTACTTGTACAATTTTATTTGGTTCCTTAGAATGGATAGTCCATGAAAAATAAGCAAGACTATGTGCAAAGGCGAGCTATCATGCAAAGCTATAGGTCGTCAAATGGGTCATATGGTCGACAAAAAGCGACCGCAAGGCCGTCAAGATTGGCCTCCCACTGTCCACTCTCCCAGTAAGTGTGGGTGATAACATGGACCAACAATGGGTAACTCAAGAGAACCAGTCAAAAAAACACTTCCTCCATTATTCTAAGAAAAATAAGTCTTCCCTTTACCATATTCTTAGTCATGGATCTAGAGCATAATCTCCCACTAACTCTACAATCTAGGACCAAGAGAGCTTTATAAATACCCTAGTCTGAAGACTGAGTAGAGGATTAATCACATATTCACAAAAAACACCCGTAAAACAAAGCTTCTCACTCTCGTAACCTTGCTCTAACACCAATAAATACTAAACATTTTGGAAATCCTTACTAATCAAGGGTTGTTATCCATCTATAATTGATTCTTACATGTTCCTAATGAGTCGGATAGGTCTTCACATCAGTGTCGATGGGCTCGCAGTTATAAATCAAATGAGTCAGACAAAGAAGTTTCTTCATCAAATACCCTTTATGAGTCAGAATCGTCAGACAAGGATATTATTTTTGGTTCTAGGTAATTTCTATTATGAGAGAAAGATGATAATCAGGGGTTGAAGTTTCAACTTCAGAATCTCTCACTAGGTTGAGCGTATTATTGCTCATCCTGTCTAGAATACTAAGAAATGCTAAAGATAAAGCTTGAGTTAGAAGGGTACCTGACTATGTATAATTGATGAAGCCATAGAAATAGAAGAAAGGCAAAAAATTTAAGAAAAACACTTAAATCACTTTTACTCATACTCTCAGTGAAGAGGGAGAGTATGGGTTTTTTGATAATGATACTCTCAAGGAAGAGTGAGCAAATGTGTTTTATGATAACGACAACTGAATGTCAAGGGTTGCGAAAAATAACTTGGTTCATCTCTAGGACAATGATGTTTTTAGAGATGTGCACAACCAGGTTAAAAACTCAATATTCAATCTTTCTAAAAATTAAGATTCAACTCAAAGCGAAGAAGTCATTAATGAGATGCATAGGCAGGAGAAGAATGCTCAATTAATAATAGAAAAAGCTTTGAAAAACCAATTTATCCATCATCATAGTTAACTAGACCACCAATTTTATATTGGGATGCACTACGAAAATAAAGTTATTACAATCTCCAAATTGAATAAAATACTAGAGATCATAATACTAAAAAAAAAAGGAAAAGAAGCTCCGTAAAAAAACAAAGCAAAGTAGCGAAATTGATTAGACATAATCTCAATGTTTTCTCTTTGGAGATTCCAAATTCTTCTGAAGAGAAAAATTGAAAGTATCAAAATGAAAAATCAGGACCCTTGTTCACGTCATGTACAAAGGACAATTGTCTAATATATTTTAAAGGAAACAAATAGGATAGATAAAATGATATTAACATTGTAACACTCAATTTAATTATTTATTTAATTTAATTGTATAATTTATTTAAATAATTATTTTTATGAATATGTTACATATTTTTGATTCAGTTTTTGAAATTGAATTTACTGTTGAATGGAAGAACGGGTAAAAAAATATAATTTAGAGAAATTAAATAACATAGTATATATTTTAAAGTTAGGCAAAATTTAACTTCAGCATAAAGGTGATAAGAAAATAACTGCAAACATGTTTACATATGAATCTGAAATAAAGAGAAAGAAAAATAGTAAGCTTGTTCATTTTCTTTATACTATTTCAAACTAAAAAAGAAAATAATTAAGGTAAGAAAATAAAGAAATTGGTAGGGACGGATTCAGAAATATTTTTTAGTGGGGACAAAATAATAATAATAATAATAATAACAATGATAATAATAAAAATAAAATTAAAATGACTAAAATTAAATGTGTTAGTTGAATTAAATGTGTAATTTAGTTAGAGTTTAATTATTTGTGATAGAAAAATAAATTGTTGATATTTATAAATCAACAACTTTTAAAAAAATTAATAATAATAATAATAATAATAATAATAATAATAATAGAGTTAATAATTGAATAATAGAAAAAATATATTATGTTATATCTAAAAAATAAATATAGCTCGATATCTGCTATTTAATTATATCTATATTTAAGTATGGTTTATTTTTATTTTTCAGCTACCGAATACATATTTTCATGTTTATATGTTAAATAATTATATATAATTTATTTCTCGTGTCATTGTACTTTTTTGTTATATATATTATTGTACTTTTATTTTACACAAATTAAATAATTTAATATTTTTAGTGAGAATAGTAAATTTTTAATAGAAATAAATATAAAAAATATTTTAATTTAATAAAATATAACAAAGTGATAATGTATGTTAATGGGAACAAGTACCCCCAATTGATTACACGTGGATCCGTCTCTGATCTATGCGACTTCGAAACAACTGCAACGTATATTTAAAAGTGGTTGTCAATGAACTTGCTAATCTAACAATCATGTAAAAAATATATTGAGTAAACATCAATACAAAATCACATTGTCACAGTAACATAATTTTAAACTGTAGTGAGAAATATAAAGGATTTTGAAGTCTCGGATAATGCATCAAAAGCTAATAGGAATAATCAATTTTCACTAAGCTTTCCATGCTTGATCAATTTGAGGTTTTTTTGTTTCCTTGATGCTCCAGCAGTATTTGCTAATTTCACGGGGATTTTCTGATTCAAACTCATAAGGATCTTCCACCAAGTATTTTTGCCAAAATTGTGTATTAAATTCAGTTGTACCCGGGATTATTCCGACAGGTTGTTCTTCCGATGTATCGGAGTCAGGAACAACGGTAACAACCGGCTCAGGTGCAATTGGATCAGAAACTGCGATAGCAGCTGGCTCTGGTACAATAGGATCATAAACAAAGAAATCACCAGGATCAGGAACAACAGCTAAATCTGTCACAGAGTTCATTCTGTTTCCTGATGAATTGGGCTGAACTTCAAAATCTAGTTGTGCACTATTCATAGAATCATCAAAGTCCAAGTTTGAACTAGTGTCATAAGACGTGTCGGTAACTTCCTTTACAAGATTTTCCCAAAACGTCAATGATGACTCTAGCAGAACTAATCGTTCCATGGTTATACTGAGAACAGACGCACTCTCAGCGTTTGCTCTAGCTAACTCTTCCGAAGGTTCCTTCCAAAGTTCAACGTTAGCTAAGTTATTATAGTGACTATTTCCCAGATAACTTCGTTTTGTCCCCGTGTTTACTGTAGAGGGCAGGAGACTTGCCTCTTCCACGGATTTCTGCAGCACTTGACCGACGAAAGAGATCAAACTTTGTTGATTAATTTCCAACTGTTGCAAACGATCCTTCGAGTAATGTAACCGCATCTCATTCTGATTCCACTCCTCGTGCTGCCTCTGACGATCCCTAAGTAATTGTTCTTTTTCATGTCTGAGTTTTTCTATCTGAGTTTTAAAATTCCGCCGCATTGATTCTGTTAATGGAACAGCAGCAGAACCAGAACCAGAAGCCGCATCTCGTTGGCTTTGAGCATTAGGCGCAGAATGGCTAAAAACTGGTCTACGCCTTTGGATATTCTTCAGGAGATCTGGTTGATTTCTTACAAAATTTTCATTATAGAATTCCCATTGCTCTTGACCAATCTTTTTAAAGCCCTGATCAAGCAGAAAAACATAACACAGTTAAATAAATAAAATTTAAAAAATAAAACAACAACGAGAAAATAAGAAACTCTATAAGAAACTCTAAATGTTTTACAAGTTTTAATGAAAATAATCAAGCTCAAATAAATCGATCAAAATTAACAAGCTCAAATAAGTCGATCGAAGTTAACAAATTTACAAAGATAAATTTTTCTAAAGCCTAATCAAATTAAAAACCATAAAACAGTTCTTTCAACACTAATAACGTTAGCAAAAGAACCAATTAAACTTACAAAGCAAAGAAAGTTACGAAGCACGTTAAATTTGCTTACATATGTGTTAAGTTGTCTGACGAAACTCGAGAAGTTGTTATGCTTAAAAAATTTAGGCAACAAATGTTCTGAAAATTCAGGTTGATTCCAAACAACGAAACTCCTACCGGTAGAACTCCATGAAACAATGACATCAGTTATAGGATCACTGACCATCATGTAAGTCTTAGACACAAAAAGAGATACAGAATTTAAACTAGTCTGACCTTGTTCCATCCTAGCACAATCTCAAACTCAAAAAAAAATATTTCTTACGTCTCAAATTAAAAAAAACACACAAAAATTAATTCCCCCAAACACCCTTTAAATAGTAAAAAAATCCCTATAAAAATTATTTAAAAAAAAACCAATTAAAATTCTTTTTTTTTATTCTTCTTTTTTGGTTTTAGTAACTGTCATCAATAATCCTAAAAAGAATACTTTTTTCCTTTTTCAATTCCCAATTCATTCAATATTTAAGCTTACAACTCAAAAGGTGAAATCTTTTGCTGAAAAAACAAGGGTCAAATTGTTAATTATATAACAAAAACAAAGAAATAAATGGTTGGCGGTTTTTTTTTCTTTCAAATGTTGATAATTTTTTCTTGTCCTTATCTGTCAAAATCTCAAGATACTTTGAACACTTTTTGAACTTTATGTCTCATTAAATTTATTATTTTCAAATAAAAAATAAAATAATTTATTTTATAAATAAAAAAAAATAATATAATATTTCAAACTTATTAACTTAGTGACTAAGTTTTAACAAATAGTTATTCAAATACAATGTTTAAACAAGAAATATTTAAAATGTATAAATTCGTATCTATAAAAATTAAAAGTTATTCTTAAAAATTTATAAATTTAAATAATTAAAAATATTTTAAATAAATTATATTATCACAGTAAAAAAAAGTAATACAGTATTATAAAAATAGTATTATTAAATTATTAAATTAAATGAGATTAATTAAAATAAATTTATTCATAGAATAAACAATTTATTTTTTTCTTAGAAATTTTCTTTTATTGTGACGAAAAAATTAAATAACATAATTATTAAAGATGTTAAATTAAAAAAATTTCTCACAATTATTCAATTGAGTGTAATTTAAAATCCACTTTACGAGTTTAGAAAGAAAGAAAGGGTTTTGGTAAAAAAAACAAAGAAACCTAAATAAAAGATGACTTTTTTTATAAGCTAAACAATGACTTCTTAACATGAGTATGACAGTTGTTTTTCTCAATAATACAATACAAATCATCTAAATTTGAGACTTAAAAACTTTATTAAAGAAGTACTTTAAAGAGTTTTAGACAATTTAAGTAAAAATTTTCATGTTCATTAATTTATTATAATACTTTAAAATTAAGTATATATTTAAATAATTATTTATAATTTTTTAGACTTTAATAAAGATAATTTTAATCCGCTATTTTATCTAATTTGTTGAGTTTTCCGACATTTTAATTTAGGATTAGCCGATATAATTTTTATGATAGTGGCAAAGAAAGGCCTACTCTGCCAAATTCCAATACACCTTCATGTGTTTTGGTAAAATTAATTTTATTATTTAAAATTTAAATTTTTTTTTACAATTTTGTTTGTTACTTAAAACTGCACGAGTGTTTATTTTTAAATGATGTGTAATTTATAAATGTAATAAATTATTATCTAAAAATTTTAGTAAAATTTTAAAGGTAAAAAAATATAAATTACAAATTATCAAAAAATGGACTCATCATTTATTATTTTTTTTTCCAAAAGCATGAGAATAAAATTAAAAAAAATAACATTTTTATGAAACCTTAAAAATTAAAAGGATAGTTATGTATGGTTGAAAAAATATAAATTTTTATTTATAAAAATTAAAATTTATGCTTATAAAATTATAAAATTTATATTATAAATATCTTTAATCAAATAGTAATATAGTATTATAAAAATGTAATAAAATTAAATGAAGTCTTTTAAAAATAACTTTATTCATAGAAAAATAGTTATTTCTTCCTTGGAATTTGTTTCTTTCTTTTGACCAAAAATTAATTAAATAAATTAAATTAAATATTTTCTTCACATTTATCTAATGGTGTGTAATTTAAAATATATTTTAAATAAATAAATATTTATTTTTTACTTAATTGTTTTGATCTCTCTCTATTTTAAATTATTTATGAAATTAATCTACTTATTTTAATTTTAAACAATTTTGTTCTTTCTTATATATTTGCAGTTAAAATTGAATATGTGTTTAGAGGTGCTCAAATAAATCGGTTATTTAAATAATCAATATCCATATTTAAATCCGGTTATTAAAAACCGGTTAATTATTAGTATGGTTTTAATCAATTTCATATTTTTGATATATTTTTAATATGGTTTTAACCAAATCCATAATTTGGACATCCATATCCAAAATAAAAACCAAATTAGTTAATTTTTTTAATTAAAAAAAACTTTGAAATTTTTTTTCAAAAAAAAAATATTTTTATTTTGAAAAAAAATATTATTTTAATTTTTTTTAGTAAATAAAAATTTTTCCGTCATAATTATTTTACTATTTATTTTTTGAAACATCGTTGACAGAAACCAATTTATTTTTCATTTTAATTTCAACTTTAAAAATTAATTATTTTACTATTTGATAAATAATATATAAATCATATCAATCTATACGATTTCTATTTTATTATATTTTATGTCACGTCATTTTAAATTTACCACTAATTTTATGTGAAGTATAAGAATGAGTGATCTAAAGTGAGTGGTTTTAATAGTGAATGACCAATTTAACGTTAAACCAATCATCTTTTATTATTATTATATATTAACATAGATTTACATATTATACAATTTATTAATTGTTAATATAATTGTTGCACAATAATAGTTTCACACCTGCGCTACCTATTAAAATATCTAAATACTTATTCTAGTATAGCTGTATTATACTAAAAGTCTATATTGCTCTCTTCAAGATGATTAAGAGTTTGTTTAAAATTTTCACAACCGATTTGAAAAACGTCTTATTCAAGATATTTAAACTATATAATATCTCCTTCATATCACTTATTATATATACCACTCTAATTATTTTATTCATGATTCAAAAAAACTCAAATAAAAACTAAATTAGTCAATTTTTTTAATTAAAAAAAATTTGAAATTTTTTTTTAAAAAATATTTTTATTTTGAAAAAACTTTAATTTTTTTGAAAAAAAAATATTGTTTTAATTTTTTCAGTAAATAATTTTTTTTCAAAAAATTTAAAAAAATAATTTTTTTTTAAATTTTAAAATAACTATTGTTTTTTTTAACATCAATATTTTTTTTTTAAAAAAAATATTATGATTTTGAAAAAATCAATTTTAAAATAAAATTAAATCAAAACTAATTGTAAAATAGGTTATGGATATAACCGGTTTATAACCATTTTAAAAGATAAAAACCGGTTATGAGAATTGGTTTTAATAACCGGTTGTAATATATGGATTATTTATGGTTATGGATTGGTTTTGGACATTAATCATCCATGACCACCCCTATATGTGTTCATTTTAAAATGTCGATATTTATAAAATGTGACAAATTATGTTATAAGAATCTTAGTAAAATTAATTAAAGATAAGAAATGACCCCATCATATAAGTTATGAATCATTAAAAATAGCCACGTTAAAAATAGTAACGGAAAGCGACACTCGGATGTCGTATTTCAAGAACTCTTGTATGATTATTAACCGACTAATAATGATTAAGGGGGTTGTTTAGGTTTTAGTTAGATTACCAAATTAAGGAGAAAAAATGATTAAAATAAGTGATTATAGAAATAAGTCGATCTACTGTTTTCGGCTTTCGGCTAATCGCTAGTTTTTTTCTTACTAATTTCTTAAATGGCTTCGACCTCTATTTGATTTCAATATCAAATAACAAGCACACTAAGATATTAAATAAATTGACATTCCTATATTCCAAATTAAACAAACAGATAAACACAATCGCGAATTAAGCAAACACGATATAGAAACGCGATTTAACGACTAAGCGATGTAAACAGCGACTAAAAGTTAGGAATACAATCATACTATTAGAAGTAATTCATATTATTAGTATTATTTTCTTAGCCCCTAAGTTTGTTAGAGGGTATTTTAGTATTTTATCTTATTCTAGTAACCCTAATTTTAGTTTATAAATAGGATTGCAATCATTGTTATTTTTAGTAGTTGTGTAGCCGTCATTCTTAATAGAATATTTCTCCTTTTCATCATTTATTCTACTTTTGCACCAACAATTGGTATCTAGAGCTCCGGTTCAGATTCATTGGGAAACACGGGAAACACGAGTGAACGTGAGGTCTTGTGTGTTTGATTTTGATTCTTAGATTCGTGTTGAATCTTGAACAAAATCTGATCAGAATTTTAATTCTGTGGGTTGGGAAACACTGTGTGAGAAATCTGAGTGTATTGTGCAAGGTGAAGATGAACGGAAACGGCAACATGAACACCAAGCTTCCAGTATTTGACGGTAAAAACTGGAATCGTTGGATGATCCAAATGCGTGTACTGTTTGGTGCTCAAGATGTTTTAGATCTTGTCACTGATGGTTATGTTCCGGTAGCAGCATATGCAACGGATGAACAGAAAAACGCGCAGAAGGAAGTAAGGAAGAAGGATCAGAAAGCATTATTCTTTATTCATCAATGTGTTGATGTAAATGTGTTTGAGAAGATTGCAGATTCAACGACAGCAAAGGCTGCGGGGAACACACTGGTTAGATGTTATGGTGGTGACGCATCAGTGAAGAAGGTGAAGCTTCAGTCCTTGAGAAAGCAATATGAGAATCTCAACATGAAGAATAATGAGAAAGTTTCTGAATACATCTCCAGAGTGATTCTGATCACTAATGAGATGAAGGCGTGTGGAGAAACTCTTTCTGAAGAAACAATCATGGAGAAGGTATTGAGATCCCTTACCTCTCAATTTGATTATATTGTGGTAGCAATAGAACATTCCAAAGATCTGAGTACCATGAGAATTGAAGAGCTGCAGAGCAGTTTAGAAGCGCAAGAGTTGCGTTTGACTGAGAGAACTTCTGAAAGGGAAGTAGAGCAGCAGGCTCTGAAAGCAACTTCTGATAGGAGGTATCAGAAGCAGTCAGAAGCCAAGAGAAGATCTGATGGTGGTCAGAAGTCAGAAAGCTCAATCTCTAATAGGCAAAAGAATGCTCAGAAGGGAAAA